CTTGTTGATCATGACGCCCTCCGCGAAGTTCGCGCGCTGGCTCCGGCTCGGGTGCTCGGCCCGGGACCGCCGGGGCTTCTCCGACCCGGCGAGGTCCACGAGGCTGAGCGTGGCCGAGAACACGACGCCGCGGACGTCCGTCGCCACGTGGAGTTGGAGCACCGCGTGGCTCCGCGAGCTCCGCGAGTTCATGCGCGTCTTGCCGATGCGCCGCCGCTTTTCGCCGCGCTTCAGCAGCGCGTCGAGCTCGTTGGGGTCGCGGATGACGACGCGGTGCGCGCCGGCGACGTAGACGCCCCGGTGCTTCTCCTCGCGGAGCGCGACGGCCGACTCGGGGTTCAGCAGGTCGCGCACGGCCTCGTTGTAGACCTCGAGGTAGACGCAGGACACCGTCGTCTCGCCCTCGGCCTCGAAGATCTGCTCGCACGCGAGGCGCATGAAGCCCTGCATCGTGTGCGTCTTGCCCGACGCCGTCTGGCCGTACGCGAGGAGCGTGCCGCTCCGGCCGCAGACGAGGTCGCCGACGATGGACCGGCAGGCGTGGTCGTAGACCTCCGTCGTGTGCGCGTCGGCGTCGCAGACGTGGTCGAAGCGGTAGCGCTCGCCCGCGCCCTTGCCCGCCAGCTGCACGAGCTCGTCCTCGGCCGCGCGCCAGGCCAAATCGCCGTCCGCGCCGCCCGCGGGCCGCAGGCGCACGCAGACCGTCACCGGCGTCGGCGCCTGCGCGTCGTCGTCGTCGGCCGGCGGCGGCGGCGCGGGCGTCGGAGGGAAGGCCTCCTCCATCCAGCGGTCGTGGGGCTCGCGCGGCGGCGAGGGGAGCGGGTCCGTTTTCTGGGGGGTGCTCATGGGGATCAGAGCGCAACGGCGGCGCCCATACGCCAACGTCGAGAATCGGTCGAGATCGAGAGCTCGCGAGGCCTCGAGGCTCAACGTGAGCAACGATGCGTGTTGACGAAATGGCGTCGATCCGTGCGCGCTGACCACCACCGCGATGCGATGCAAAACCTAGCACTCGTCCTCCTCGCATTGCTGCGACCGTGCGCGCCGTCGGGCGCGGACCACATCCTCCGGGAAGGCACGCTGCAGCCGGGCGCCGTCGCCGCGCCGCCGCGCCTCGTCTTCGTCCACATCCCGCGCGCGGCCGGCGGCTCGTCGATGAACGCGGCGCCGTCGGTCCTGCCCAAGGGGACGACGCTGCTCGGCAGCGCGGAGTCGGCGGCCTGGAGCCGGCTCACGCGGGAGCGGCTCGGCGCCGGCGGCGGCCTCGTGACGATGCTGCGCTTCCCTCTCTCGCTGGCGCTGTCGCAGTTCCTCTACTGCAAGTTCCAGCTGCGGCGCCGCAAGGGCCGCGGCCGCTTCCCGAACCGCGACCCGGGCCGGCCGCGCGCGCCGACGGGCGGCTTGGACGAGTGGGCGGCGCACTTTCCGTCGGACACGTCGTACGGCTGCTACGATCCCACGAACGTCCAGTACCGTTTCGTCGCGGGCAACGGCAACGCGCGCGGCGCCGGCGGCGTCGCCGCGCGGATGACCATCGACAAGGCTGTGAAATTCCTCGACGACGAGTTCTATTTCGTCGGTCTCGTCGAGCTGCACGCGGAGTCGCTCTGCGCTCTGGCGCACGCGACGACGGGCCGCGTGCCGGCGCACTGCGGCTGCGGCGTCGACGCGCCGGCGCGCCGCGCGACGCACGGCAAGATCCGAAAGCTCCAGAACGTCACCGCGGCCAGCCTCGCGCCGGCGCAGCGAGACGCGCTCGCGCGGATCACGGCCAAGGACCTCGTCCTCTACGCGCGCGCGCTCCTCAGCTTCGAGCGGCGCGTCGCCGACGTGCGGGCGCGCACGGGCGTTTCGCTCGTGTGCGACGGCAAGCTCGACGCGCTCTGGGCGACGACGCTCGAGTACGCGTGCGCCGGCGCCGCCGCGCACGCGACGCGGCGGGTCCTCCACGGGAGCGACAGACGATGTTCGTAGTATGTAGCTACTGTCTCGCTGGGGTCTTTGACGAGGAGCGACGCGCTCGCCGCGGCGTCGAGCTCTCCGAGGCCCGCGGCCGCGATCGCGCGTGGATGTCTAATTGAGGGGATTTTGCGTTAGAGATCGCGAGGCGCGCGCCAGTACGCGATCGTGTGCTGGAACACATCCTCGGGCGCCTTGACGAAGAGGCGCTCGTGGAGGGGCACGCTCGACGACGACGTCGCGAGGCCGCGTTCCCGGAGCGACGGCAGCTCCCGTCGGAGCGCGAGCAGTTCCTGGCGCGGCGCGTCGACGTACGGACGCCAGCCACCGGCTTCGCGCACAGCGGCGAGGAAGTCGACGAGCTCCCAATGGCCGCGAGCGTCGGTCTCTGGATCTTTTCCGTACTTATCGCGAACGTCGAGCGGTGCGCCTCGGCTTAGCAAAAGCTTGACCATTCCGATATTGTCGTTAATGGCAGCGAAATGAAGCGCGGTACGCTGAACTCTAGAGCTGCTGTCTACGCGAGCGCCGGCGTCTAATAGGATGACTGCTTGGTCGTGTTGATTTGTGGCGGCTGCGAGAGTCAAAGGCGCGAAACCAAATCTTAAGTCGCAGCAGTTAACGTCGGCGCCATGTGCGATGAGCCAGTTCATGGTCATGCACCAACCCGCGCGCGCGGCGTGCCAGAGGCGCGGCGCACTACGGATTTCCAAATGCATGTCATCATCATCTTCCTGTCCTATTACGATGCGCACGCGCTTCTCCCCAGCTTCGCGCAGGAGTTCCGCTCGAACGACTTCATCGAGGTCGCCGCCCGACGCGTGGAAAGCCCGAATCTGGTCGAGAAAGGCGCGCTCTGATGCGCTGATATCCGCGTCCGAGCCCTGAGTCATATTTGAGCTGGTCTCGATTTAGGGTAATGTTGAGCGTCAACGCGTCTTCAAGCTGGCAGCCCTTCCCGACGCCGGAGCACAGGAATGCGCCCCCTCGTCGAGCTCTGCACGCGCTGCATCGCGGACTCGCTCCTGGAGGAGGATGCGTGGATCGAAGGCGACGAGCACGCATGGCTGCGGTCGCTGCCGACGGAGATCCGCGAGGGGCTGCTCGCGGCCCTGCGCGGTCGCGCGAGCCCGCGGCTGCTCTCTAAGATCGTCGCCTCAGATCTGCGGCGCGTCGTCGTGGGCCTGCGCGAGGAAGATAAGGAACACGGCTGGGACGGCGTCGCCTCCCTCGCTCCGCCGGCGTCGCTGGAGCTGCGCGGCTTCCGCGGCGCCGTCGGCGTCGAGCAGATCGAGGCGGCGACGGATCGCTTGCTGGGCGCCGGCCTCACGGAGCTTGACCTCTGCGACTCGCAGATCAAATGGTGTTCGTTCCTGCACATCGCCGGGTGTTCCACGCTCCGCACGCTGCGGCTCGGCTGGATCGGCGTGGGCGTCGGCGCCGTCTTCCAGATCGCGGCCTCGCGCGCGCGCCTCGCCGAGCTCGACCTGAGCGGGGCCGCCATCACCTTTTCCTCCGTCGATGCCGTCGTCGAGGCCTTCGGCGCGTCCCTCGAGCGGCTCTCGCTGCGGTCGTGCGGCGACATTTCAAAGGACTCGTCGGCGGGGCTCGAGCCGCTGCCGAAATTGACGCATCTCGACGTCGGCATGACGAACCTGTCCTCCGAAGCCATCGACGCGCTCCTCGAGGGGCGCGGTGGCCAGTTCCGGCACGTCGACGTGTCCGAGTGCGGCGGCGTCGACCGCCAGACCATCGAAGACGCCTTCGGCTCGCTGGATTTCAAGCCCGGGACTGCCGCCCTCGCCTCGATGCCCGAGACGCTCGACCTCACCCGGTCTCCCCGACCTGCCGCTGGAGTGCCTGGTCGTGAGCTGGTGCGACAACATTCCCGCCGGCGTTTGGGCCGCCGTCGCTTCGCGGTGCCCCCGACTCGAGGCCCTCCACGCGCGCGTCTTCATCGATGCGGCCGACTGGCTCACCGCGGCCGCGCTCCGACAGAAAAGGCACCTGCGCGTCGTCTGCCTGAGCCGTTGCCCCGGCATCGGCGACGAGACCTTGAGGACGCTCGCGGCGGAGAGCCCGCGGCTCGAGCGGCTCGAGGTCGACTGGTCCGCGGCGTCCGACGGCGGCGTGCGAGCGGTCCTCGAGTCGTGCCCGCTCCAGTGCCTCAACGTCGCCGGCTGCAAGGCGCTCACGGACGCCGTCGTCGACCTGGCCGCGGCGTCGCCGACGCTGACGTATCTCGACCTGACGTTCTGCGATTGCGCCGACGTGTCGGAGGCGCTCTCGCGGCGCCTCCCGGACCGGGTCCTCGTCGTGGACTACTACAACGAGCAGTACCGGGCGGGCGAGCTCCACGAGGGCCGGCGCCACTCGACCCTGCCCGACACGCCCTGGGACCTCATGCGCCTGCCCTGTGACGTCGACGGTTAGCGCGAGGTTCCGAGTCACACTTAGTAGGACGGATAGCATGTCGTGTGATGCGGGAGAAGGCGCCGGCCCCGCGCGCGGACGCGCAAACTCGAGCTCAGGCTGGGGGAAGCGGATAGCATGTCTTAAACTAATACAGGGGTGGCGCGCCGCTCAGCACGTGTCGTCGTCGCTGGAGTCGCCCCAGGCGCCGGCC